ATTAAAACTTTATTTTTCAAGAAATTTAAATATTTTATGTTTAATACTGTTATTATTAATCAACTTATTATTATTTATACTTTATGATTTTTTTCTTAATTTAAATGTTTGTGGTTGAGACTACAAAATACTTAGTTTTAATCTTAGTTTTAATGAATCATAATACTTTAATTAGATTTAGATATATATATAATTTTATTTATATATAATAAAATTAATAAAAAATAATTATAAAGAATGAAAATAAGGTCAATCCGCGGGTTGACCCGTTAGGGTCAGATTAAAATTGAATTTTTCTAACCCGTAACATGTTCATGACCGAACCTGAACCCACCCAACCCGCCTGTTTGCTAGATCTAAGTATAGATGGTGTAACACATATTATTTAAATTGAAAAAAACTGGTGCACCTTTCGATTTAATACATTATACTCTGGTTTAATTATTAAAATTTGTTTTAAAAAATTTTCCCACTGTAAGCTTAAATTTGAAATTTATAATTTTTTAATGAGTGTGTTGTAAAGCATGTTGAATCGAATAATGTATCAATCATTGTCCATTTAAATTACTTTTTTTTTTTGTTTGATACAAACTAAAACTATAACAAATAATGTATCAAATTGAAACTATTATTATTGAATAGAAGGAATATATATATAAATTACTTTCATTTTTTTAAAATAGTTTTTATTTTTTATTTTTTCTCATACACTAAACATTTATAAGTAATTTATATTATATATAAAAAATAAATTTAATAATATAATAAAAAATTAAAGACAAAAAATAATTATAAAACTAAAATAAAAAAAAACACTACGACGTCTATCGTTACTTTAAGAGAGGTGAAGTATATTATTAAAACATATAATTTAAAATTAATTTAACTATAATAAATTACTTGTTTTTACTAATTTGTTGACTGAAAGAAAAAAACAAAAAACACTGTGGAAAACTGAAAATAAAATTTCAAAGACATCTTACATCTTATCCTTTTTTATTTGATTAAAATAAGTCGTATCAAACCAAGGGTTATCTTTTTTGAAAATAGGTAATGAAACCAAGGGTTATCTTAAGAATATAATTGATGAGAGTTAAGACAGTCCTTTTTTATTTGATTAAAATAAGTCGTATCAAACCAAGGTTTATCTTAAGAATATAATTGATGAGAGTTAAGACAGTGAAAGTGGGCTATCCGCTTTGATATTTAGGGCCTCACCTTTCTCCAGCTGAGGTTATGCTGTAACTTTTATTAAGATCATTCATTTAATCACAATTTTATTAATTTATAATATTTTTAAATAATTAATTATGATATTTAAAAATATTTATTTATAAATTAATTTTAATTTATTAAATAATAAAATATTAACATTAACAACAGGTTGATGATTTGAGTAGAAAAAAATTAATTTTCTTTAAATAAAATTTCAAATTTAAATCTTATTAATTGAGAGACAAATGCTAGAAAAGTTTTCCTCCTTATGGGTTTTCATGCAGCTCACTCTAATTTTTTTTTTAATCAGCCAAACCAAATGAATAATTTTTTAATATAGGAGTATAAGGAATACTTTTGAAACACAATACAAATTTTATTTATTAATCAAAATCTAATATAACTTTCGAATATTATAAGGTTAGTACTTAAAAAATAATAAATATTAATTATTTTATCAATTATTAATCAATTTTAACAATAAATTAAAATTAAAATTTCATAATTTTTGTGGCTTTAATAAAAATTATGGTGGCATAACCATTGCCCCTCTTTCCTTCTTAAAAAAATTTAATAAAAATAAAATAATTGTACTCCATTTTTTAATACATCTAATAATGAATTATATAGGAGAAAATAACTCTTCTTTTTTATAAATTTTTTCTCACTCAACTCAATATTCAAATATGAAATCTTTAGAACTCTACCAAGCGGTTCATGGTCGTGCGCTTCATTGAGACTTGTGGGCTGTTCATTAGATTTGGGATCAAATCTCCAGTTGTTAACATTTAACAATACTAACCTTCTAACTATTGTCCTTATAAAAAAAAAAAAAAAAAAAAAATCTTTAACTTAAAATTTCAGATTTTTAATTAGTTGACATACCCCTTTAAAGCCAATTGTACTCCATATTCCACAAGTAATTGTTACATTGGTGCAATTTTAGTTAGTTAAATTGAATTTTTAATTTTTTAAAATTAATTTTAGATAAAATATTTTAATAAATATTTTAATGATAATTAAATTTTTTATATGTAATTATAAATAATATCATTTAATAAAAAAAATTTAATTGTTATATATGTACTATATATACTAAATTTTATTTTGTTTCTATTAATAACTATTTCATTTTTAAAAAGAACACATATTAACTTTCCACCTTTCCTTATTAATAAGGATAAAAATGAAATTTC